TATAACTATCTTCATATTTCGTATTTTTTTTTCATCTTCTTCATAAAACACAAATGCAAACACTCGTTCAACTATTTTCAAATGTTATGAATATCATTGCCAGTATAAATGAATTTAAACGTATATTGTACAAATGCTAACTGTACCGGGGAATGCAGGAGCAGCACTTCGAGTGCTCAAAACATCGACACGCTTATGCACATATCATATCATATTTGCCGTTATGTACATTGTATACCGTACACATACTGTGTATAGTATATTGTATTCGAATCGGGTTGGGAGATGGGTTGGGGGGAATCGGAAATGAAACGAAGCTTTCAAGATTTAAAAGATGATTCATTCTCTTTTTTTCTGCTCCCTTATGTTTTGAAGAGACGTTTAAACATTTAAATGTGCATCTTATTCTGCCTACAAAAGGTGGATTGAATGTATGTTGTGCATGCACGTTCAACTGTTATGGGGATGTTCGAAATGAGGATGTTTCCGTTCAAACAATGCGATAGATGAGCACACAACCGATGAATGAATGTACCGTATAAACTTGTGAACGAAGTGCAACGAGAGAGCCGAACTGTGTGTGTGTGTGTATGTATTTGAGACCAATGACTCTAAATTGCATGCGGTTGAATATCGGAACAAGTCCAATATTTTGACAGTTGGGCTGCTAATGCCAAACAATTCAACACGTTAAACTTTTGTTACATTTTCAGCATGACGAAGTGATTGCATGTCATGAAAACATATGACACAGATTTTGATTATTCACTTGGGAGATGTTTATACATATAGGTGTCTGTGTGTGTGTGTGTGTGGGATGGATAGAGTTATTTTGTTGTTTCGATAAACGATTTTTATTTTAGCTTAGATTGAAAACTATGAGCCTGGTTAGCTGAACACATCCGATGAGTTTCGTCATGTGAAAACATAGAACTTATCAGCACAGGACAAAAGAAATCCACTTTTGTGAACTTCCTAGGCATACTCGAATGTTGCCAGACGAAAAACCGAGCCAGCTTTTTCGGTTTTGTTTAACAAAACTGACATAATTGAAATGACAGCGCTTGAAATGTCGATGACATTTTAATGAATAAGGAACACGATTTAGTTTGGATGCAAACTGAAAATACTCGCATTGATATTGATGTACTACAACAAGCTTATTATTATTATTTACGATTATTTAGCACATTCAAAACGAATTCACATTATTATAAACTCAATAAAATGATTTTCTGTGTCTGTTTTCAACATGCATAGCAATTTAATTCAGACAATTGCCCAAAATACGGAATACACACATTACAATGGGACGGCGAAAAGAATCATTCGAAATGAAAAGTGATTGAAGCATGGATGGAAAAATTGAGATCGCTAGCATATATAGAGAAAGCTCTCTCAGTGATGCGGCTTTGAATCAAAAGTTCTATTTAACACCTTAATAGCTTCGAACATTCTATAGAATTGCATACAGTTTATGCGAAACGTGACAATTATGCACTTGTATACTCACTTGCACACAGACACTTTTTCAATGCTGAATGTCTGTTGGATTTTCTATGTGTGTATACCCCTTTACGACTCACACTCTAGTCTCGTCGCCGTTGGCATATGAAACCACCGTCTGTAATTACACGAGTAGTCTTATTTAAGTCACAGCACATTATTTGACGCGATGCTAAATTGGATGTATGGAATGTGCGCCCGCTCTTTCTCTCTCTCCCACTCTCTATAAAATGTTCTTTATTCGTTTGTCGCATGTAAGTCATTGAACAAGTATGAGTGTGCATAATGCACAAAAGCAGACAAAATAAAAAATTTCGCATTGTTTCGCTGTGTAATGTAACATGCCAATATACTGCTTCATTAGGGTTGCTACATGCTGATTGCATATGATATATATATATATATATATATATATGTGGTATAGCATTATCTATAACACTTTACGCGTTTGCAGCATTTGCACACTCAAAATCAAATTCTTATATTATAATTGATAATGTGAAAGGTATAACATGAAACGCAACAATTTAAATTACAATCACATCAAATTACAACTGAACTGAATCAAGCATGAAGAGCTTGGGAAACGATGGCAAAACGAAAATGAGAGAGAGAGAGAGAGAGAGAGCCATGGATCGTCGAACAAGTGCCGAGATATAGAAAAGAAAGTTTAGCGTATGCTTCATGCATACAACAAAAACTATAAGACCATAAAGTAAATCGATTTTCATGAGATTCAATCTGCATAATTTCCTTCTGTTCAGTTCATTCAATTGATTTTCAACGATTTGGTTCTCACTACATTTTCACAATCGTAATTTTCAATTTCTTTGGCATGAACTTTACCATTTTTCCCTTTCGAGACATCGTTCATCTAAATACAGTATGCTGGGTGCATAGAAAGAAAACGGAAAACTTCTTTTCTTTTGTTTGAAAACGTGATACGAATAAAATAAATGTATAAATGAAACATTCATTTCCCAGCGAATGAAAGGAAGAAGAAGAAGAGGGAAAAAACGAACATGGTTCAGAGCTTTGCATCTGCTCCGATGTGCTTGAAAAATAGCTTAAAGATTGAATGTGAAAGCAGACAGCACCAACTTCAATTCATGTAGGCTAGTGCATCATTGAAGCCACGTCAAAGAGTTAGAACATACATAATGCAAAGTGATCTGATAAAACGCATAGACTTTGCGGCATTCCATGCTACATATTTGTCAATTTAAATGCATTATGTAATATGTTATTCGAAAGATGAGACAAGACGGTTTCAAATGGATATGCTGAATTATTGCAACAATAATTGTTCAGAAGGTTTTTTTTGAAAATTCAGAATAAAGTTTGTTGTATGTTTTTCAATAAGATCTATAGTATATTTTAACATTGTAAAAAAAGCCTATTTGGTGATCTCATGGGGGTCAAATAATATAATTTCTTTTTATCGAACAATATTTTTTTTCTATTCGATTAACAAATGAATTGACCTTTTCAAATATGCAAAAAAAAACTATTTAATGATGTTCCAACGTTCAACTGATAAATTTATCACACAACAATTTAATCAAAAGTTTTGATAAAATGAAAAGCGCCCCACCGAAAACGATTCCATTTCAACAATTTCATTTAGATTGTGCTCTCACACTGAAATTATGTTTAATTTGGAAAAGTGAACGAAAAAAAAAATCTCGCTGAAAATAAATCTCACAGCAGATGAATTTCCATTGAAAAAGCCTATTTACGCTTTGCACTTCATGTAAATCACGATTTAATTCATTCCAAAGAAATACGCAAATTTAATTGGCAAAACGAAAAAAAAAAAAATCAGCAACATCAACAACAACGAAGGCACATTTGTATAATTAAAGAGCAATGCATTTTTACGTTATTGATTCGATATGCAGGACGTCAACAAATCCATGAAAAGTGCAATATGAAAGCACAGTGTGCTTGCTCTGATTGTGGTTTAATATGTTTTACCAAAAATCACCAGGGTGTGCGTGCGTCCCCGTGTATGTGTATGTAAAATATTTGAGAGCAAAAGATATGTCGATTGAATAATTTGTGTGGATGGGGTTGGAAGTTGCATCCATTTGGAAATTTATCAAGCGATTGGCTCAAACATATTAAACCTCTAATATTTGATGAATTGATAAATTGTTTATAATATATAATGTTTTTCGAAATCACTGCAGTTTATATGTGTGTGTTGTGCATATCGACTTTTTGTATTTACAGTCGATAAATTCTATTTGGTTTGGTCCATTTTCCGCGTGTCACGTTGCAAATGCTCACAGCGATCCATGCATAATAAATGCCAGCCCGATGTTGTTGTTGTTTTTTTTCATTCACACACATTGACGCCGTATTTATAACTGGTGTGTGCAATTTTTGAAACATGCACAATAAACAGAAATAGGTCAAAAAGTTCGTTTTATTTCGATTTCGCATGTAACACAAATGACATTTTGCAGCTGTACAATTTTCTATGTAGACTAGATTAATTTATCAAATATGGAAAATAATTGTGAATGTGTGATGATATTTTTTGATGTGGCCTGATAATTATTTGATGTGATCAAGTGTTTTGCATATGTACCAGAAGCAGAAAGAGAGAGAGAGAGAGTGAGATTTGGTAATTTTTGACACTGGATTGCATTGTCTATATAGTCAGTATGAACGAGTATAGAAATATGCAAATATATTGTATGCAATGCATACAAGGCAGAAATATAAAAAAAAGAACCCGAACCTAGCGAACAAATATCAAGTGATACGAAATGAATGCGACAAAACTGTTCTATATTTCAATCACAGTCAGCTCTCTGATAATTGTCTGTATCATAATCGTAATGTTCAGGCACTATGTAAACCTATATATCATTGGGGTATTGTATGCTGTATACGGGTAAGCTGCATATTTTGCTGCTACACTCTCACATATATTGCGCTCCGTCGTGCATAGAGTGCAGCATTTTCATTGTTTGCGCAGGTAGCGACACGGTTTATGGTTCGAAATAAAAAAAAATGCCTGACGCACGAAAAAAACCGACACCGATCAAAATTTTACAAACTAGCAAATTATGCACCAAGGCACAACAACTGAACAGAACAAAAAAAAAAAAATACGCAATTTAATAAAGTTTTGAGTCGCTTTTTTTCTCGCTACTACAAACTATTATCGATGCAAATCATAAACAATGTATATGACCCCAAAAGTTAGATGGAACACATAAAAAGTGGTTTTCTACTTTTTGATAGTAATTGTCAAACTTTATGGCAACATATTTCTCTTTTGTTCTCTCATTAATGTCGACAGAAATTTGTTCTTCGCTCATTTGTTTGTTGGCAAAAAACTTTATTGTCAAGCGAATAAACAAAAAAAAGAGAAGAATATACAAATTTTGTTGTTAATATAAGTTTTTTTGAACATTTTCTCTTTTTTTTTCTCTCGATTTTCATGTGATGCTCATTTTCAATGATTGAATTCGACTCACCTGCTCGAACTTGAACATCACGCGATATAATGCGGCCAACCGAATTGGATGCAACACACCGATAAATGGTGTTATGTATGTCTTGTCGATATGCAGCCGCTGAAAATGGCAGCAACACTAGTGTACCGTTGCGTAATACTCTACGAACACCGCTCACATCACCAACTGATGTGCTATCCATTGAAATCCAATCGATTGTGGGATGTGGCGTTCCTGTGGCCGAACAGTCTAACCAGCCGCCAGATGAATTCGAAAAATCTAACCGTGATGGCGGTTCCATCACAAAACTAGGCCCTCTAAGATGTGACTCATATATATCTGCATAAACATTTCCTGTTTTTTTTTTTGATGGCATTGCATTAAAAAAATAGAGGCAATACCGAACAATGGGGCAGAGCAACGAGAAAAAGAATAGAACAAAGATGAATAAAACCGAACAAAACATGCCGAACAAATAAATTGAACATCGATTCGAATGCTAAACAAAATGAGCATTTTATGCGACATATTCATTACTCGGCAGAATTTCAGGGATTTGTGCTTCCGAACAAACAAACAAAAAACAGTAGAAAAGCATGCGATTTTCTAAAGGAGAATAAATTGGCAATTGAAACATGAAAAACGAAGAAAACAAACAAAGACGATGATGATGATGAAAAAACAACAACCAATGAATTTATAAGCAATGATTTGCCGCATTTCATTCTAGATATATCAATGAACTGAACGATGAATTGGCTGGCAATCTTGATTCGCTCAGAGATATAAATTTGTTTGGTTTTGTGATAGGCAATATTTTATTCGGTGTATTGGATGAGGTAGATTACACACACCACTCAAACTCTAATATCAATTATTTTGACTAGAAATCTAATTATGTCAATCAACGTGCTGAAAAGTTTGTCGAAACATAAATACCACGTATTGTACTTAATGTGTCTACAAATAAATGTTCTATGCTTTTTTGGTAGTGCCACCGAAAACACACAGAAAACAATGCCGAATCGGTACGGATTGAAAATACGAAAAATGGGCAATAGCATGGCTGTAATAGCAACAATACAAACCCATTCAACATCGAATATATTTTCTTCAACACGTGGTTTTCCACTCTTCGAATCTCTTGCATCGCTTATACTAAACGATATAAGATGTGTCTACACTGTAGCATAAGACACGGCACACAGTTCGAAAATTTCCTCCTTTTCTGTAACAGGTTATAGATTAAGACGACGGCAAATGTTCGTCGAGAGTCGGAGACAGAGGGGGACAGAGAGAGAGCGAGCAAGAGCAAGAGAATGAGAGAAGCGAACGCAAAAGGAAAATGTAAAAATATTTTTGCTCCATTCCATACAACTAAGTAGTATTATATCAATGTAGACCAATCCACCGCTCACTGATTGAGGCAATGGCCAAAACAATAGAATTCCTGAGACACACCGACTCGAGCGCGTGTGTTAGCGAACTAGCATAGGAAATGATGCAGACACTCTGCATGAGTGCAATCATAGACGACGTGCAGAAAAGTAGTTTGTTGTTATAATAATGGCTTTGGTTGGTTGGAAATAGCGGCAAAAAGTGAATGGCAAACGATATAGATGGTACTTTGGCTGCAGTTTCAAGCATATGTTGGCTTTTGGCTCCGATAAAGTGATAAATTGGCCATGGTTAGACTTGTCATTTCGCATTAAAATAATTTATTTCCAGATTATTTTATAATTGTGGTCGTTTTTCCACATACTTATTTTCACACTATATTCACATTGTGCATATGAATGTTGCCATTAACTTTTTGAATTCATTGCTTCTAATTGAATTGATACATGCTTTTGTCACTATCGAATGGACGGAGAAGGAGAGGGAGAGAGAGAGAGAAATATATGAAGAAGATCATTTAATTCTATTACTCGCTATGAATAAAACAAACTGATTTAAATGGTATTCGGTGAAGATTAAGACTTTTGGCACAAGCTTTTTTAGTATTCGTTTCGCATCTTCGCCAAAATGTGAATGATATGAACATAATTTCGTACGGAAGTGGCATGAATTGATCAAGATGGTTGGCTACTAGAATCTCGAGCTAAATTTAATGGAAAAGGATGCTCAAACAAAACAACAACAAAAAAAAAGAAGAAAATGTGGAAAATGAAGACAAAAACAGCATGGCAAAAACAAATAAATCCAGGTTATAAGATAAATGGAACTCATTAATTCAGAAGCACGAATCACGAATCACAAATAATACGAATAATAGATGTTTACCATCATTTTTTAACCATAAAAGCAGAGTAAACCCATAATAAATAATCCACATGTTCACCGCGATGGCAGTTTCGGTAGTTTGATTGGATGGTTGGTTGGTTGGCTGTTTGGTTGATTGTTTGTTTGCAAATGCCTTGATGCTTATGTTGTCTTACTACTCTCTGGGTTCCTGTGCCACGTCCAATATTTTGTGACGTGAACGCTTTTTGTTATTTTTTGCTCGGTACAATGTGTGTGTGTCCGTTCAATTGTTTATCAACATCGTTCGATACAACAATGGCCAATGAATGAGATTTTATCAAAGCTGATTATTTACTAAATGTGTGAATACAAAACTAACACATATTCAATTCTTTCTTTCTCTATTTCTTTTTTTTTTGTTCACATTAAAGAATGAAAAGCAATTTCATTTCAAGACTATTTTCGGGAATAGCATTCGCTGTCTGTGTGTGAATCACTTTATAAAATGATGAAAATCATTATGACCATTTTGCGTGATTGGATGTGATTTTATGTATAAAAACGAAACTAGATGGCTGATTGATGATGATTTCGGTCGGTTTTAACTAATCGCTTAAGACATTGTCATTGTGCGTGTGTTTATTAACTAAAAATCTAATCGATTTATAAATCTATTTTGTTGATTTTGATTTCGGTTTTCGATTCCAATTGCGGGTTCGTCGTATATGTTTTGTATGCATATATCGCCTCTCTCTCGGTTTTTCTTTTTTTGTCATCGAATGTTAAACTAATTTCGTGGAATATTGATTGTATTTTAACGACGAAGTGCACAATGATACACACCTCATTACTAAAGATTTAATTATTATTACTTTTTTAAATTAATTTTTTGTTAAATTTTCTACACGCTCGGTACGGTAAACGGAGAACTGTCGTACTGAATTTTTCGGCTCGATCACATTTGTTTGCAATTTAAATGTGCGTGCAGAAAGGCAATAGCAAAAAAATAAACCATATCCGATTTGACTAATAAATAGCTAATAGACCAAAGAAATTTTGAAGTGCCAAATCAGCACCGAAAAAATTATGCATAAATGTCCACGCAAAAATTGCCGCTCACACACAAAAACTAGATCAAACGATGCACATGATGTACGGTATTCATCACTATTCTAACTGAATTTTTCAATCAAATTTAAATGCCCGACATATCTGGTATATGTGTTTCAAACGTTCTCAAGTCTACTCAACAACTGAATTCATATGTACAGCATCACCGAATCCAAAGCACAAATCTCTTTCGATTCTTATCCAGCCGTCGAAAGGGGAACATCTCGTCGTATTCAAAGTCGAAAGCACACAACATGCCGGACATGCGCACATGCATGAACAATTGTTAAGAGGCACCCACTACATATTTGATTGTGGCTGTATGAAACGATATCAGATAACTTAACGCTTAAAACACACATAAATCATCCACCATTGACCGCAAGTGAATATCTACCTTCAAACTCAAATCCCATATTATTTGCGGAAGCTTCGATTTCGAAAAGTTTGCAGACTTTAAGCGGTTAAATGGGGCTCAGGCATTTCTTAAATTTGATTAATTTTTTTTCTTCTTCTTTCAAATGAACCGTGAACGCATCGTCGTTGCTGTGCATGACAGACTTAAGTGCAATCGTATTTAAACGGATAGCGGATAGGCAATGTCAATATAGAAAAATACAAATAAATAAATTACTTTTCAAGTTCTGTTCATTTCAATTGAGTCTTACCTTTAATTCAATCGAATGATTATGGATTCCGTTAAAGCGCATTTACAACAGTTTAACTGGTTTCATTATTTTGGTCGACCATACATATTTTAGAACATATGTGTACGCGATTATAATGAACGTTTGTATCGGAGAAGATATCACAATAATAGTTTATTCAGATAAGGTTTAAATCCTTATGCTTTATTTACAACTTATAGATTACAAGTAAATGTAAATTCAGTGGAATTTTGATAGTTAATATTGGAGTATAATGAGTTGATCCTTTAGGTAATAAACTTTTTCACCTGTAACTTACTTATTTAAAAAAACCACAAATCCTCCTGTGTGTTGTTAATAAAGTTATTATTTCCATCAATTTTTTAAGGTTTTCATTTTAATTAATACAAGAACTTTAAAGCATTGAAAGAAACTTCTCAAAATTGCTTCGGGCCATATATTTCGACAGCGTTCTTTTTGGAAATGTTAAAATATGAAGAGGAAGTCTTTTTAAACACTTCATAAAATGTTGAAGTCTATTAGATAAAAATGATTTTTTTTTTAAATTTTATTTTGAATTGCATTGGAAGTTCAGCTCGGGACACCAATTTTTTTTTCAGTATGTGATGATGATTTGAATACAATTTTCGTATTGAAAATCCGTCAAAGAAATGTTGTTTTTTCTTTTTTCGTAATTTTCTTTAGCGAAAGTCACATTTTTCAAATGGGCTTATAATGAAGACCACGTTTATAATGTTTATGAAAAAGTCACTTTCTTACCTAAATTCACTTCCTTATTGGAGGTGAAAAAAATGTTACCAAAATCCTTGTCCATGACATAATAAATAATAGTGGCTCGGACTTTTTTGAGATACACGAAAATTGGTCATTAATTTAAATTTGAACATTTCATTTGTGGAATTCAATAGATCATGCTTCTAGGTGCTTCCAATATTTTTACTAGATGGCGCGAAATGGTTGCGTGAATGTAATATTTTTGGGACGAATTTCATAATTTCAATAATTAAAAATTATTTCGTATTTTTACTCTTTGATTTTCTTCAGTTTGTTTTTAATTTAAAAAAAAAAATCATGAACAGAAATACCAATCCTACTGTTCAACAGCATAAAACATTTTAGATCTTCTTTTTCCCAAAAACAAACAACTTCGCAATTAAATGTCATCAATTGAGAATAGAAAAAAAATAATAATCCATTATGATCCTGTATGATCGAAGTGATCATTTGAATTTTTATTTAAAAATGTTGGACATTAATAGCAATGCTAAATCTAAAATAAATGATAAAAAAAAATTCGTAATACTCTTCCCGCGTAGAAAAATGATGTTGTGACAAAAAGAAACACGAACGGAATTAATTGGCTTTAATTTTCACATTCTTTATTTGGGGTAGGCGGTTGAAAAGAAAGTCTGTGCACCGGCAAATATATACAATAACATTTTGGCCGGATAAAGCTACGAAGATTTCATAATTTCACGTTCATTTTTTATCGGGATTTTTCTTAAGTACCACCGGTCCAAGATTGTCGCCACATTCTTTGTTGTGTACACCATGCGATCCATCGCAATATGGCCACTGAAAGTGAAAGAAAATACAAATTTGCTTTTTACATTTTTGTTCAGTTCATTCAATAACGATTTTAAAGATGATTTGTGATTTCAAGCATATACATACATTCTTTGATTTCCAACATCTGCAAAATGCTGCTTTTTCGGCAATATCTTCGATGTCAACAAAATCGGCCACTTTGGCGTCCTCCAAGCGAATCAATTTATTGACGCGAGCCACTTTCGAACCTTTCCGTGCTTCTGGACAGAATGCCAAATATGAAACATAACCTAGGCCGGCAACAGCGGCGGTTGGCGGTACCAAGCAGAGCCAATCACGAACTATAAATAAAAATGAGTGATGGGGGCATTTAACGGAAATGTTAATGAACATTGTAGAACATTTATTGATTTGTCTATAAAAAAGTCACCACAGTGTGCATTCTATTTCCTATATATTTATGAAAAACAAGCGCGATTCGTATCAATGCGAAACCTAGTTTTAGTTACAATTTGACAGCTGGATTTACGTAATAAGTTTGCATAATATTATATGTTATTGTACATGAAATGAGAAAGAACTGAGTTAGGTGAGAAGGTCATACGTCACTTTTTTTCCATATTTGAATGTATGAATTATAGTAATAGATTATAAATTAGATTTATGATTTTTTTTTTCTGTTCAGAAAACAGTCAGCATTGAAATATCAAAAGTTTGTCGTATAAATTTATGATTAATCTTATGTTTTGTCTGTACGGTCTTAGACACAATTTTTTTTCGTCACATTGAAAGTTTCACAGTGCGTTTTGTACAAATAAACACAAATGCTAAATTTTTACGTGTATTGTGTAGTTGTTGTACATGTTTTCCTACAATTTCAATTTACTTGACATCTTTATCATAAAGAATAATTAAAAAAAGTCGCGTTCACTTTTATCATAGCTATATCATTTGGCTTATCATTTTGTCTACAATATCTTATTGAATTTTAAAACATTCGCATGACGCAAATCATTTACTTAATTAACAATAAAATATAAACGAGAATATGGTGATGGTCAGATTTCACAAGCCGTCTTTTCATTGGTAATATATATATATTTTTTTCGTTCTAAGAAAATGTCATTCGAATTTAAAAAAAAAACTTTTTCAATAAAATTAAATGTAAATACTCACATCCAAGCTTAAACCATCCCGTGAATGAGTCTGGAATTGGTAAATTGGACAAATAATTCGGCAACGTAACTTTTACTAAACCTGACAGAGCCTCCATTTTTCTCAATTACAGTTTCATATTTTGAGTTTTGACGGAACGAGAAATGTTCTCGCCAGAAATCACTTGGTAGTGCCATGCATATACATATACATATTTAAGAATTGTCAGTGTATGAGTGTGCTGCATGACATTACAGCTGAGAAGGGATACATATATATATATATATATATATATATCGAATGAGGCGATTTCAATGTCCATACTGACACTTTCAATGGAAAAACCACTTAAAAGAAAAAATCATTTTATTTTTTATAGCATATAATTTGGAAGTGAATCGACAAATTAAATAAAATGCATTCAAAGTGTTGTGAAATTTAAAATTCATCTATGATAAAATAACGTATCATTCAGATTCAAATAAGAAAATGGCAACTCATGATATCATTCCATTTAAAGCGAAAGTCGCACAGTCGTACAAACTAAACTTGTTTTTCCTTTACAAAAGAGTTTTGGAACTGTCAAAATGCTCCACTTGTACGGCACATACACACACACACGCACGTCCGAAGTAGATACGTTCACATGCACACCTATGTGTATATAAATAAATACAAAAAAAACAATACAGCGACAACGAGAGCAGCAGCAGTCAGAGCAGATCGAGTTGAGTCAAAAAAACATACTCACACAACAAAACAATATTGTCTATATAGAAAAAGAAGCCGATATACGCTCTCCATTTCCATTCCATGTATACTACACAGAAGAGTGTGACATCTTCTGCATGAATTTTTTTTGTTGTTTTCAATTGATGCCATTATGGCTGAAGAAGTAAAGGTAGTTTTAAAAAGAAGTGAAGATTCAAGTTTTGGTTTTTCGTTGTTGGGCACGTCTGGATTGCCCCATGTTATTTACGATATCATCGAAAATTCACCAGCTGCCGAATGTGGAGTGGTAAGAGCATTCAGTAAAATCGATGTATTCAATTGATTTGTTTAAAACGATGGAAGGAAAAAAAATATATTTTTTTTCAAGCCCACATCCACATCAGTATATTGAGTGTCAGCTATTGTATCAAATAGTTACCATTTGTTCACCTAATTTGCATTTATTTCGATAAATATGTTTTTTTATTCGGTTACACGTTTGTAAATTAGTTGATGTTATTTTTGTTGTGTTCATATTTCGGCTTGGTTGCGATTTCGGGATGTGTGTGTGTATCTGTGTGTTTTTTTTGGTTTAACTTAACAAAATTTGACAAGATAATATTTCTTTTCCGCTGGGCTGAAAGTGTATGTGCTCATCGAACACATTTCACATCGAAAATGCAAATTAACATAATTCCATCCATTCATATATTTTTTCGTAAATAAATTACCAAAAAACCATATTGGAATCAAATGTTGATTTCAGTTGAACCAAAAAAAAAAAATTAATTAAAAAAACATAAACATGGTGTTTGTGCTAATGGAAAACCAAACCAAATCAAATGCAAAAGAAAACGACAACGAAAAACCATAAAGTGCCATAAACAAAATTATTCACTTGCTACCACTTTCGTCGATTGTTTGTGTTCGTAATACACAATCGTTTGGTTCGTGTGACGAATAGTGATGATGATATGCCATATAAATATATAGATATATCTATATACACATATAGATATTTATATGTATACATATAAACGGTATGTGTTGCAAAAAAAATCATATGCGAAGTGAATCGAATAAAGAGAGAATAAAGGCCAAACGAAGACGACAACAACAACAACAACAACAAAATAGATCAATAGCCACAGTTTTTATTTGGCTAGATTCGTATTCACTCTCTTTACTAAGTGAAATTACGGACTACGCCCTCCAAACCATAAACAACTGGCCACAGAGAAGAGAAAAAGAGAGCGAAAGAAAGAAAGAAAAAAAAACATTAAACAAATGTATACACAAAACATGAGGCCAATTTGTTGTTGTTTTTTTAAGAAAAAAAAAACTGATCAAATTTAATATGTGCCCACAAATGTTAGAGCGAAATGTTATGCTGGTGTTGTGACTGCATCAACATTAAACGCGATGTTTCATGGAATAAACTGGAAGTGTTTGGTTTTCTGTACGCAATTCATTTTCCAAAGCGAACATCAAGTACTTTATATATACACTTCAAAATGATGATTTCTCTTTCATTTCTCTCATTTCTTTAATTCGCCGTTTAAAAACGCGATTACCACACCAATTCTAAGGCATTACTATGCCATCTCATATGAAAGCCAAAAAGAAAAAAAAATTCTGCATTTGTACGCAAGCACCCGTTGCATATGTTCCAAAGATCAGACAAATCGATTTATATAGATTTTGCAAGTGTATGCAATATATATATAACAGAGAGTATATAAACGAACCGAAGAATTATAGTATAAAAAGCGATTTAATTAAATCTTATGCCGCCATACAATAATTCAATTTGAAAATCATTCGATAATTAAAGAGCTTATCAAAATTGTCGATGCAACCAAGGCGGATCGAATTTCTCTTGTTTTCGGTGTGAGAAATTGAAAAACGAAATGCACGGCACGTTTTAATTGTAATCAATAGAATAACTGGTCAATGGCTGGCACACCATTTCGGTGTCTGATGTGTTCCACCTGTTTGTAGTTTCGTTTTATTTTTTTGTTGTTGTGTGTGTAGAAATCAAATGCGAATGATTTGCAAATTATTTTGTTTTACAGGTAGAAGCCGGCGATGTTATTGTTAGGGTAAATGGAACAGATGTACATCACTTTACAACCAAAGAAGGTATTTATTGCTCAATTGAGCTTTTAACTCAAAATACGTGTTTAATTATTTTTCAAGATGCCAAGTAAACGTATGCTTCATTCGTTTGAATTACAGTGTTAAAATGTTTACGGCTATCACAAGATCCCGTAACGTTGGAATTAAAAAGAGGTAACGAAAATGACATCAATTTATATTTATATAGATTTAGATGTATAAGTTGGATGGTTAATTAAATGTTGTGGTATTGTTTATTTGATTAGATCCTAAAATAAAGGAACATGTCCAAAATTACCTAGAGGGCAATCAACATTCGGATAAAAATCGCATAAATTCAACGTCGTCACATGTGTCGCGTTCAAGCCATCGAGTGACATCATCAGAACCAAATCAATCCAGACCATCACGCATTCCAACCATAATACGCAGTCCAATACATAGCTCATCAAAAAGTTGTCCACAGTCACCGCACGATCAAAAATCGAACAAAACATCACAACAAATTCAAAGGTCAAACGGTGGCAGTTCAAGTATATTCGGTTCACATGAATCGTCTGTGAAGAAAAAATGCGGCTTTGAAGCATATATGATGACCGGTGATTTGATATTAAATCTATCACGTAATCAACAAAGTGCTGACATTCTAACCACACAATTTAAAAAGGTAATGCAATGCATTTGGATTTTTTTTTGGTGGGTGATACGAATCGGTTTTATTTCATTTGCAGATTGATAGTTTAAGAGACTCATCGAAACGAATGAATCGACCGAGCAATGGTATTGCGCCTCACGCAAAAGGTGAATCAAGCCCATCGCCAAGTTATTCCGAAAACAGTGATTTAGTGAGCTCAATCAAAAAAATTGATGTCGCTTCGCCAAAAATAGGTTCAAAACCATTCAAAAAACAATCCAATAGTAATGAAAGTGATGTATATGTGATTAAAAATGAATTTGATTCGGGTACACGACCTGAAGTGGTCAATTGTAGCGATAACGTTGACTGTTCATCGATCCACACAAAATATGATAGCGTGCAGCCAAATAATGTGTTCAAAATGGAACAGCTGCCAAAATGGAGCAAAAATTCGATACAACATGACGAAATGAATTCGAAAAGTAGCTCTAGCCAAACGAATTCCACATCATCCACGTCATCATCATCCACAACAAAAACTGACGATAGCACTTCCGCTGAAAATTGTTTATCGTTGCCAACATCACCGGCATCCCTATCGACGCCCATCGAAACGGATGTAGTATTTCGTCGAATGCAACAATCGAATCCAATTCGAAAATGTGATGTATCTGGTTTTCGAACCAGCCGATCCGAAGATCATTTACAACATACTCAACGAGATATTATCGATTCGATTGTACCAATCGATGTCGACGAAGATGTTAATTCATCGTTAAATACTCTGCTCGATACACGTGATGAATCGGAAAGTACACAAAGTTCCAGTGATCGTGAACGAATTGTATGGACATACAATGCACCGATTGTTACAACACAAGCAACAACAGCCACAAATAATTCACAATCTTTTTCAAGTTCAATCAGTTCATCGCCACAACACACCGATACACCGGCATCACCAACATCCGTATCAAGTTCAATAATGTCATCAAATTCGGGCTCAAAGGATGCCCATGGTACATCAATTGGTACAACACAAAATTTAGTTTGTCCCGTTAATTGTACGGATCTTAGTGTATCCGAAGCAGTATCAAACATTTCTAGTCCTGATTATCAAGACGATGAAAATTTGATGAGCACAAAAGATATGTGCGGCATTGGTATTAGCGATTTAAGTGATTCAGATTCAACAATTTTAGTATCGGATATGGCCACACAACCGGATCGGAAACATCGACACGATTACAAGGTTATGATCAAAGTGAAAGGTGCAGATATGTCGCCAAACGGTGTTAATGGATCGGACTTTAAGGATTCAGAAGACGAATTAGCAACATTAACGGAAGACATGCCAAACAATCATAACGGTTTTGAAGGACATGATTCATCACCACCCGTTTCGGACGATGGCAGTGACGTTGAATCGTTGCACTCGTATCACTATTCACCGAAAGCAGTTGATCTACCATCGGCTGTTCGACTTGCCAAACGGCTATTTGGTCTTGAAGGTTTTAAAAAAAGCGATGTATCGAGGCATTTGAGTAAAAAGTATGCATAGCACTCCATTCCTATCCGAGATTTTTTTTTTTTTTTTCATTAATATTCATTTTTACACATTTCGTAACAGCAATGATTTTAGCCGTGCCGTAGCTGACGAATATTTGAAGCATTTTAATTTTGCAAAACTCAAATTGGATGAGGCTCTAAGACTATTTTTGAAACAATTCTCTTTATCGGGAGAAACACAGGAACGTGAACGAGTTTTGGTACATTTTTCAAAACGATATTTAGACTGTAATCCAGGCACATTTAATTCACAAGGTATGTTTGTCGGCTCTTTTCGTGTTTCTTTTTTCTCTCTCTCTCGTCAAATTAATTAATATTTTCCGCTCATTTGCAGATGCTGTCCATACGCTGACATGTGCAATAATGCTTTTGAATACGGATTTGCATGGTCAAAACATCGGCCGAAAAATGACGTGTTCAGAATTTATTGAAAATTTGGGCGAACTCAATGACGGCGAAAACTTTTCGAAAGATATTTTGAAATATTTATACCAAGCGATCAAAGAACATCCACTTGAATGGGCACTGTAAGAAACATACATTTTCTTACTCTTACAATAATATGTGTGGCATGACTCAATGACTAATAAAAAATTTGTTACATTTTACAGTGATGACGATTATTTGGAACAAAAGCAAGATGGCGAGAATAGCAACCAACGAGCGCAGGCAGCAAGTCTTTTAGATACGCCACAAAATGTGGCCGCTATCGAACATAAAAAAGGATACATGATGCGAAAATGCTGTTATGAAACAAATTATAAAAAGAGTACGTTTGATTTAAATGGACAAAACGCATGTTTATTTTGTCTTATTTGATATGTTTGTGTCTTTATTTCGGCAGCTCCATTCGGAAAACGTTCATGGAAAATGTTCTTTTGTACATTGAGAGATTTAGTATTGTATTTACATAAGGATGAGCACGGCTTTAACAAAAAACAAGTAAGATCTCACCATTTCCATTTTTGGCATGTGTCATGTTTCTGAATTTTATTTCTTTTATACTTGTTTAGATGTCGGATAATGTGCACAATGCAATTTTCATTCACCATGCATTGGCAACAAAAGCCACCGATTATCAGAAGAAGCAGCACGTATTTCGATTACAAACTGCTGACCAAGCCGAGTATTTGTTCCAAACCAGTGATTCAAAGGAATTGCAGTCGTGGATTGACACAATCAATTATGTTTGTGCTGCATTTTCAGCGCCACCGCTTGAGGGTGGTGTTGGTAGTCAAAAAAGATTTCAGCGGCCTCTTTTACCGAACTCACATACGAAACTTTTATTGGTTGGTTTTTTTTCTTGCGTTTTTTTTTTCACCATCTCTCTATGATTTTTTTTTATTTCATCAAACAATTTTTTCTAAATCCAAATCTTTTTTTTTAGCGAGAGCAATTAGCATCACATGAAGGGAAAGTTGCACAACTGACCAACGAATTAACGGAACATAAACGAAATGCACCGCCATCGAAAGGTCTTCAACTACAAAATTATGTTGAAAAAGATATGTACTTGCAATATGAGGTAAATGACATTTTTTTTTAAATCGAAAAGTATCATCGTTTCCCATTTCATTGGAAAGATGGAAGCCTAATTCAATATTCGATCATTTTCAGTTGAAGCGCTACAAGACGTATGTGAATATTTTGAGTTCACCGCTAAACGGTGATGGTCAAAATAATTTATGCGATGAGACGAAAATATTAAATTTACAATCGCATAGCGTGAATGAGCCCAATGTCAATTATTATCACCATCAAACCAACCGAACAACTCCTCAATATCGGTCCACAGCTGATGACTCAAACAAATACGAACTGGCTAATTTTTGATGTACGAACTGGTTAAACATTTCTGAGCATTTATATATTCCGAATTTCAATAGTAAACAGAATTAGTATTTAAATTACTAAAACAGATGAGAAAAAGAATGAAAACACACTCACTCACATCCACACCCACACACACACACACACACCAAGATTTAATAAAATCTGTGAACGAGAGCGAGCGAGTAAAAAAATTATGAAAATGCTATGATATGATATGAAAACAGTATGGAGTTCATGGTTTTAAAATATATGAAATTCTGTTGCTATTCTACTTTAAAAAAAAATTATATGCAAGTTCAAGAGCAAGTAAAAATAATTTAAATTTAACAAATAAAAAAAAACAAATGATTTATAAAATCATTATACATTCTGACACAGGCTAAAACTTTAGCTGCTGAAAAAAAATGTGCATAAGGTTCGGGAAACATACACAATCTATAACGAAATCGAAAGTAAACGAAAATATAGAAGTCAGATCGAATATAATAAAGCTGAATTCGAAAATGAAATTAGTTATTTATGCCTATTTATTTTATAATTCAGAAAAAAATAATTTTTAGTTTTTGAAATTGTACCTATTCTATGAAAAAAAAAAACAACAAAACATTATTGTAGAATCAATAAAAATACCAACAAAAAATTGCAAAACAACAAATCGATTTTTCATTGATTCAACACAATTTTCCATATAATTAATTCATATTGTTTTTTTTTTTGCAAAAAATGATAATAATTTAATGTATATTGAACAACACGTGTTCAAAATAAAGTTTGGCCGTTCTCCATCCATGTGATTGTATGCATATGGAGTGAAGCATTATGCATGAATATCATTTCCATATATAAATTGTCAAGTTGAATAGTTTCAAGGCCATTAAGTATCTTGGAAATCGAACATCGACGTTTGGCACTACCACCTCACGTAATAACCACATCAAAAAGTGTACATTTGGTGAAAAGTGTTTGTATTATATTTAAAAAACGTATTGTAAAAGTGTTGAGCTTATATTGGAAAAAAGAACGCACCCGAATTGTTACCGCAGCAGAGACTTGGTGTCATGCCAAAGAAAAGTGACAGTACATATAGAATTTGTTTATAACTTCATTGGTTTTTGGTACAACACAAAAAATTGTTGTAGGTTTTTACCTTTTTGAATTTTGTGATTGAAACAAATCGGCACAAAAATGAACGATCCAAATACGATAAATTGTCGTATATATGTGGGAAATCTGAAGGAAAACACCACAAAACCAGAAATACAGAACATATTTTCAAAATATGGTTCGATTCTTGGTATAATGTTAAGCCGAAATTTCGGCTTCATTCAATTTGAAAGTGAAACGAGTGCAAACAATGCGATCGATAATGAAAATCAGAAAGTGTACAATGGTCGTAAAATTACGGTAAGCAAAGTACAGAAAAAGGGTGCACAAAAACAAATGGATAAAGGTCCACCGACCAATAATGCATCGAATCCAGACACTGGCAGCCAAAGTACACAAAACAATCCGGTGGTAAACACAAATCCACCGATTCCATCCAGTAATAATGCGAATAGCATTCCATCCAGTAATAACAATAATGCATTACGAAACAATAATAACATGGGTAATATGGGAAATGTATCACAAATGCAAAATACATCCGGCAATCATCAATCGAGACAACAACAACCAATATGGCGAAATCGAAACAATAATCGCAACAATATGAACAATGAAATGAGTTTGCACACAGACCGGGAACGATCACCACAACGTAAGTAACCATACAGATTGGCTAAAATTTTCATATAAATAAAGAAATATTTTGCTCATATTTCAGGACGTGAAGGAAACAATGACAGATGGAATCAAGATAACCAGGGCAGTGGTAATTTCAATCATTTCCGTAATAATAATCGCAACAACAACAATATGGTCGGCCACAATAATATGGGCAACATGATGAATCAAATGATCAATATTAAAAAGGAAACTATCAACAATAGTAGTGGTGCCGGTGGCAGTGGCATTGCCAGCAACATGGCCAACAATAGCAACAACACTGGAAACCAACAAACATTCGGTTTTCCCACTGACAATTTCAAAAGCGTCCTGAATGGTGGCATACTCCGGGGCTATGCTTCGGCACGTGAAATACGTGCAAAATATCCGAATGCAAATGATTGTGAAATTGTTGTGCTTGAAAAGCATCTGGTGTAAGTTGTTTCTGAATGAATTTAATTTATATTTAAAAAAAAAAAACAAAAACAAATGATAAATTGGTAAATATTATCAAATTGCAGCGATTATGCGGAATACATTGAGAGTCGTTTAAAACGTGCTGCAATCACAGCCGATCTTCTATTTCCGAATGCCGATCTAACAATTGGAAAAATGTTAACAAACATATCGAATCGCGGTGCATTATATGCTGTTATCATTCAACCACAGCACAAGGAAAATAATAGCGTTACATTGAACATTTTGTATGGTATACCAGCTGAACATCGTAATATGCCATTAGAAGATGCCATTGCATTGATTATTCGAAACTATCAGCATTTGTGCCAAGGTGAAAATGGTGATGTGATTGGTGACACAGATGAATCACCATACGCTTCAATTCCAATGGCAAATGTTCGACATCCCGATTCAGTTCAGCATTTGATCAATTTATTGGCCGACAATCGAACATTAACGGTACTTCAATTGGATTGTATCTTAAAATATTTACAAGAACGACGAGAAGCACAATATAAATTTGAATTGGGCGACACAAATCTCAATGTACAACAAACGTCAGCGGTTGATAATAAATCGACGGTATTGCCGAATGAACAAAATAAAACCGAGACATCGACATCAGCCGCACCCGTTGAACCACCAAAAGTCAATCCAGAGGAGGAGATTCAAAAGAAAATTCTCGAAATTCTCAACAAACCAAGTATTCCAAACATTAAACCAGACACAAGTGCTGATAAATTATCAATTGATAAGAAGCAACCAGCCACCATTACATCAGAATTGAGCTCAACCAATCGTCAAGAACCAAAACTATTGGCCAAAGATCCAAATCTACGAAATGTCTTAGATTCACTTATGCTTGATGATATTTAAAATGTGAACTCAATTTCAATTTCAACTTTTTTAAGTCCGTTTATTTTATCACATTTGCTTTATATATTGTGACTCATTCTTGAATAAAAATAATAATAAAAAAAAACTGAAGAAAAAAAATTCTAAAAGAATAAAAAAAATGTTTGATCAATTCAATTTATATAGTCAATTGTCTTTTCACAACTCTTTTATACACTTAACTGTAAATGTATGCAATCAAAGGCGATATTCAGATTATACATAATCACTATAGTGACTGAGTTAATTGCAATTATTTTAATCGGTGCTGAAATGGTGAAATCATAGAAATAAGTCATGCATACATTTCAATCAAGTAATTATCTCATTGATGACTATGATTTAATCGATTCCCATTTGCTGTCATAATTTAATGAGTTTTAATCGTGTATTTAGCATGCAAACTGCTTTTGAAGTGTTTTTTTATTTGAGACACATCGGATAGACTCGGTTCCATTTACCGCACGAATTGTCACTACAAATGAAAGTTCCCGTTGCTGGAAACATATTTACATCCATGTTGACTTTTTCGCTCATATTAAAGTCATGTATATGATTAAATACACGTTTTACGTACTGAAAAAAAAATTGAAACCAAATGTATTGTGATAGTTTTATACACTGTTTGTTCGCTTTTTACAAATGATCTTACATAATTCGAGACCGAAAAATTTAATGATGGTAACCGTTTTGCCTTATTGATTCGATGTTTCAAGATAATCGACTTGTTAGAATGATGTTTTTAAGTAATATTTTTAATTTTTTAGTATTAGCGTTTTTTTGGATATTAGAAAATCGAATGTGACGTTTCTTCCGACTTCTGATATAGAAATTCATATTTTTTAATTCTAGGCCATTTCAGCTAAATTTTTTTTATTACAGGAATGGTTTGACAACATATTCACCGAATTTCAGATGATTTTTTACTATTTTTTTTTTCTTTCAAATAAATTCAAAAAGTCAAATAAAATGATAAAATAAACGCAAAATCAAGTAATTTTTTTCCGAATCCATTTCATTTATTTTGGTGATTTTCACACATTTAATTGTTATTTTAAATTTTGTTCACGTTTTTATTGACATGATGAAACCATTGAATATTTAGCTAAGGAAAGAATGGTTTCGAAAAATCAGAAAAATTATGATAACAAATGTCATTATCTACGAATTGGTGTGCGGCTGAAATTATAATAGGCGAATTAAAGAAAGCATCAGTGTTAAAATTGTAAAATCGTGCATACATTTCAATCGAGTAATTTTCTCATTAAAAATATGATTAAATCGTTTCACATTTGTTGTCATGATTCAATATGTGCACATTTTAATGATGCATTTAGCACATAAACTCCTTTTGAAATGTATTTTATACTTTAGTCTGCCAATGAAAAATCACTACACAATTTGGCGTCACGAATAAATGCTACCATTACTGGAACCATTTGAATCCATGAATTTTTCAACATCGCATTTGAACTGTGCAGCAATCGATAACCAAATAATTTATTTTATGCAGGCATTGTTTGATTGATACGAATTCACTAACTGTATGAGAAGACATATATTCAAGTAGACAAGACCTAACCAAAGATTCTAAAGAAATTCATTTTTTTTTTAATCAAAACATCTTGTTTCCGATTTATTTATTTATTTGTGCAGGTAAAAAGAGTACCACATAGGTAGTCTCATTAAAAACCCGATTTTGTCACAGTTAAGTAATCAAAATAATGTATGAAATCACTTCTTTTTGCTTAATGTTTTCTTCATTGATTTAGCTACTTTTGCTAATTTGTTAACTCGTTTTTGAAGTCCGCTACCTGTTTTTTCGAACATACCGGTTTTCAGCGTTCCTGCATCAGCTTTCTATGATATGCCCGGAATAAGATAAAATTTAAAATAATAAATTTTCGTGAAAAATATGAAAACAATTAACTTCACAAATACCTCGTGATCTTTATCGTATTTATCTTGGGCGATTGCTAATTCTTTTTGGCATCCTTTGCATGCATTACCGTTACAGCACATTTGATTTTTCTTTATTTTTCGCTTGAGTACTTTATAACGAGCGTCCATGTGCTTTTTGTATGCAGGATTATCAAACTGTTTATGGTCAGGGTCATCTCCAGAAAGTTCCTGTTCTTCTGGATCTGAGCATCCGCTCATTACGCTGCCTTCTTCTTCTTCTTGTTCACTATCAGAACCGGCGTGGTTCAATCCCACTACCTAAATAAACAGAAAAATAAGTTTATATTAAATCATGAATTAATTGACGACATGTTTGCTAGATGCGAGAAGTTGTCTGACAATTTAAACAATTGATTATGCGTTGTATGCGACTTATTTGGCATGATTGAGTAAATGAAAAGTTTAGAGGTGAAATACATCTAAGAGCTGACTTTTAAATGCAAAATGATAACAAATCCCAAAAGGATAATTATCAACTGAAAAGCTAAATGAAAATATGTGCTTGAAGTTGATATATGACGTGGACCATTTGATGTCGAACGGTATCGGCACCAATCGTTACATATTTTAGAGCGTAAATTTCAAAAATTCCACACATGATATATCGTTCGTTCTCACATTTGAAATTGTACGTGGCGCAATCCACATGTTCAATTCTTTTTATCAACATCGAAAACCTTATACAAAGCTTTTGAGTCAAAATAAAATGAAATTTAACAACATTTTATATTTAAGGTGTTTAAGTATTAATTAAATTAAATTAATTTTTATCTTAATACTAATATTTTCTTGATATTTTTTCAACTAATATTTTTCACACTTACCGCAAAAATCACAAAGAGGAGAATAGAAGTCTTGAGCAAATTCATTGTTCAATAATTGATTTTTCAGTTTCGATAAAAGTCTGAAATATACTGATGAAGATAACGATAATTTCAGGATATTTATACTTGATAAAGTGTTCACCGTCACCAAAAAAAAATGTGTCATTCCACCTGAGCAAACATAACAGATGAAACGTAATCTTCTCGGTTATTTTTCTAATTTATGAAGGAACTTATTGATTAAATAACAAACATTTTTCATAATTCAAAAAAATTAAAATGTAGCATGACATTGTATTTCATACCTAGCAACAAAGGTTATTAATTATTACAATAATAATAATTATAATAATATTATTTTTTATCGAACAAACACAACCAAATATAAAGTGTGGACGTTTACCGCAATTTTCATGAACAATAGAAATTTTTCACTAATTTGACCTATTTCGTATTTTTCAGAGAGGAATAACAACTGGCATCTAAATTGACGCAATTCGAAATTGACGCAAATATTTTTGTTTTTATTATTCTACATTATTTCTATCGATCGTCATTATATCATCAACGTGTATCATCTTTGCTAAAACGATTAATTCCACGCTTGAAAGCGTCAACGGGCTGGGCTGAATCCATGAAATAATGCATTAGAATTTTGCATCATTAAATCCCTACTTCTCAAACGACCATTGCTAAGAATAAATAATTTTACGCATTCATTTCTTTTTTATAAGTTTCTTCAAATTTGGACAGCCGATTTTGTTTGATTAAAATTTTAATATTTTTGTCACCTCTGCTTTATCCGTATGAAATAATGTGTTTTGTCATGAATGTGCGTAATACTAGAGTATGTGCGTAATACAATTGTTAGGCTATAGAAATATTTGAAAACAACCTTGAAAAATAACTGACACAACTGATCGCGATGATCAAGACAACGTTTTAAATTGATTGTAATAAGAATTGTTAACTTTTTGGCGGTGGAATAAACAATAATGAATGATAATAATTAAGTAAATTAAATTTTGCATTTGTCACATTGCAAATGATTTCTTTTTTTTTATTTTGGCAAATGAACGTGTTTAAACCATTTATTTTGATGGTTCATGCGTTAAACTATTGTGAAACTGTCTTACTTCATTATTATCTTTTAATTTGTTGAGTGTGTGTATTTTTCTTTAAAAATCTTTTCTTCAATCGTACGACACCGTAATGCAAGGCGCATGTTTTCAAAATTGTCATTTTTCATTCGACATTTTTCCCTGTACATTTCCAGATTTGTGCATCATTCGTTCGTTGCTTCGATTAAGGCATTTGCACTTATTTCCGATGTAAATTTGAGTGATGTCTAATTTGTGACGCGCTTCGTCAGATTGCATTAATTAAATATTGTTTCAGAAAGTGTATTTAGAAAGGAAGTCATTCGCAACATCAATTTCAGTTGTACGGCCAAAAAGGAGGACCAAAATGCATGTATTTATTTATGTATACTGGGTGTCATTTGTATTGGTATACGATGGTGTGTTTGCAAGTGAACAGAGAGAGAGAGAGAAAATAAAAATAAAAGCCACATTCGATTGGGCCATTCAATGTCTCATTGCATTTTGCATGTTTCTTTCTCTTCTCTAATTCATTTGCAAATATCGTTTGCATCTATTTTCAGATTTGCAGTGTGGCGACACTAATTACTGATTAAATATTCTTTCACATGTGAGCATCGAGCTAATTAATTCATTAATTAGAGATATTATGTTTATCCAACACAAAGTTGTTTGTTTTTGCATTTTGCTTAAATTTTATCGCTCAATGTTGGCACTCGGCGAACTGAATCACTCAATAAAAATCCGTTTTGAGAGCGGCAACATTGGATTGGCATAATGTTCATATGCACTGCTCACTGCTATAGGTATTTGCGTGCTGGTGTGCGTGTTCATATTTTGTATAATCTTTTCATTGAGAAACATTTCGTTTTATGTTTCTGCTCATTTGATTTGTGGCGAACGGGCTATTTAAGAGATATAAATAAGGATTCAGTTCAATTAAATGCTAACACACAGAGAATATTGTATGTACACAGTTTTGCCAGTGTATCCAATTTCGAAACCGAAAAATTGTCACCAATTTCCAACACATAGCAACCGCATCGTCATTCACTTTATGCGAAAATTAATTAGCAAAGCACTTATATATTTCAAGTGATCCAACTCCACCATCATTTAGAGCGTATCACTTTTTGCCGTTGATTTTTCGTGTTAATTTTTCTCGAGCCGTTTTTTTCTTCTTCTTTTCTTCGTTTGTTTCAATTTTCATAAATTTAATAAATGCACCGGGGAAAATGGTGCGCTTTGTGTTGTTGCATACAAGGACTTTTATTTCGTGTCATTTCTCTCTCCCTTTCTCTTTCTCTCTGTACGCTTTCATGATTACAAATTAAATATTAGAGTTACACAATTTAGATTGAGCGTCTGCCAAAATAGATACAGATACAGTTAATTGACGAGAACACTGAATGACAGGCATGTGAAGAGAAGACATATGGCGTATTTGTTAGCTATAAAAATGAATGCCATTCTACTTGCAATGTTGATGCAAATGACATTATTTTAATTACGTTAAACGAAATAAAAAGTGACAAAAAACGAAAATCTGACATCGAAAATGTCGATCATGATTTGTTTTTTTTCCTCCTTAAAAACGTTCAGATAGAATCATCGTGCAAGCGATTTGAGCTTGTAATACAACTACTTGTACAGCCGATTCATTTATTATATTATGAACCGAAAAAAAAAACGAGAAACACTTTAAATGAAACAATTTTAAATATTCTGACAACGAGCAGACTGAAACGATCGCTGCGATTGCAATGTGACAGATGAGGATCGTCAAATGGAGTCAATGTTTGACTAAATTAAAATCTAATTGCATTGCTATGCGTAACGAAATCGATTATGATCTCACAATAGGCTTGAAATGAACAAGGATTGTGGCCCATATTGGGAATGCACATAACAACCATTGTTCGTCAATATTTCATTCAACTATTTGAACCACGGCAATTCGCTCACTCATTCTATTTCAGTCTCTTCCGTCAATAGGCATGCGTTTAAACGGTTCTCAATAAACATTTTCAAGGTGGTACTTAATTAAACAGGATGCCCTTTCGACGTAGCTACTACAAAGATGCTTTTGGTTGTGTGCATCCCATTGTCGCCAATCAAACATTGCCACCATTAAATCACTAATCACTTAATATGGAAAATATTGTTCGTTAGATTGAATGCATCCATTTCTGAAGTATAGTTCTAGAGAAAGACCAGGCGAGAGAGAGAGAGAGAGAGATGATTTTTGCACATGCATACAAAATGCATTGATGATCCGAACAAAGCGCATCGTCAGCTCAACTTCATTTTTATCGAAAACAAAAACGGAATAAATGAAAACTCTGTGAATTAATTGAGTTGTTTAACCCATATTAGTTACGGTGCCTCAATGTGGCTGTCTAGTAAAACGACAAAAGCCAACAAGAGAGTGAAAAAAACAACAAATTTCAAAACGATTGACTGCACAAAAACACACACAAATGAAATGTGAAACTGAGATGAAGTGCAAAGCGCCTTTGTTGCACTTCAAACGATGTTTCATTCAAATATTTTGTTTGCTTGACAACACACACATGCACATAAAATAACAACAATTGCCTCGTATAACCACCTTTCATTCGTTGTTACCCTCATTTTCAATGGCATCCATTGTGACCAGTTTGTCGCAGTCAATTGGAAACCTCTCGAGAACAATATAAGGAGTGAAGAGAGTCGAACAAAAATTGATGATGTGTCCCAAAAGTGAAAAGACTACGAAAAAAGGCAATCATCAAATCATGGGTCGTGTTAATAATCACAATTAAGATCGTATTCAATGAAAATTAGGCCGTGTCACAGTTTAATTTTGAATACTTCCAAAACTACATCACTTTATTGATTTTACTACTCAGAAATTTCAAACATAGAACACATTGTTCATCTATCTTGTCAACGATTCGATTATAAATCTTCGTCATCATCATCGAAATTATTACCAGCAAGCCCATTTGTTTGATTTTCCACCATTCGATCGAACCACTTCCTATAACATACATTTGAAAATATCATTCGAATTTATATTAAATTGACGCTTATTTAACATCATTAAATTATGTGTGGTGAGTGGTGAGAAAGTAGAATGAAATAAAAATGAAGCACAATATATAGAGCGAATTAGCAACAACGGTATAATGAATAAAGCAAAGCAACATTTGGAAGCGAAGAACAACTTGGCCTGTTTAATTGATTAGGTAATCGCTTGTTGAGCCAAAAGTTGTCGGAAATTTATTTCGAAAAATTGACCACGGAACACGGTGATTTAAGCATTTAATCATGACAGCCCTAAAAAATGTAAGATTTTTTTTTTTTCGTTCGAGGAGCTCAAAATTTTATGTTTCTCATTCATTACTGATGACCACCTAGGTGGTTCGTTCTGCTCAAAAATAATTACGTAGCATCAAATGGACGTTCTCGCGGTCGATTCTTATGTTTTCGCCCCGTTTTTCTTATTCCTTCTCTATATCGCTCTCTTCTTTTGTTCTTCGTTCGGATTATGCTCAGATTCAGTTGAAACATCTCATGAGACATTATGAGAGATGTATTCATGGTTTTATATCATTTTGTATTTCACAAGGTGGTACAAATTGGAAGAAAAATCATTTCAAAATGACCGGTAGTGTAGAAGTGGTCAATTTCCATTTATTTATAAGGTTCAATGCGAAAAGATGATTTATTTGCAACTAGCGAGACATTCGTTAAATAAAGTTAGGGTTTTTTTTTGTTTTGAAATAGTTTCAACGAATTTAAATGGATGAATGACCTTTAAAATTATGCAAAATAATGCAAAGGTGTATGAATTGATGATGGGTGTTTGTTTTTTCAATAAAAACGGCATCCATCGTTGATCGTGCCACTGCTTGTATCTTCATTTTAAAAGTGATTTATTCCACATTCATCAATGAAAATAACGTAAAATTCAGCTCACGGCAATATTCCAAATATTATTGGCTATCGAAAGAATGAAAGAAGGAAAGATCGAAAACAA